TTTTAAAATCAGATGGTCCGCTAAAATACAGGAACAGTTCATTTCTTCGATCAGTTACTTATAGATAGGTACATCTTCCGTAGTTAGTAAATGTATGATAAAGTTAGAATAAGAAAACTCAGTCCTATTAGTGGAATATACATATGTAAATCATGTATTAATTACTAAACCAGTTACATTTTAATGCGCCTTTATTGGAAAATCTGGGAAGAAGCAGCTTCATTGTTGTTTGAAGGAGAATAAGCATAGAACGATGTATTTCCAATCAGATAAAATAGTTAGAGGTCCCTTTCATTGACTTTTGAGTAAAAGCTTGTTTAAAAAGTGCTTCCTTTTTCTTTTATTTGTTCTATTTGTTCTGCTATATCGTCATTATCCTAAGCTGTAGCATTGTTTCTGTGGCACATTAGTAATTTTTCCAGGACGACAACTGTGATATATGATTTGAGAGATCGGAAAGTCTTTTTCCCCATTTTAGAATAATAATCAAGAAGATGAACTTCATTGTCTGACTGCTAAATCGAACCACTTGTTTTAATTACTGTTTAATGTATGACATTTCAGCCACCGTCCTATGAAGGGAAAATATAAGTTTCAGATGTCACATAGATAAGAAACTTCTAGAATTTTCCACAGATAATGGAAGGCGTTCTAGTTTCAAAGGCAACATTTGACCCTCTCCAAATAACCATATATGTATACTTTCCAAACAAACTTCTAATAGTAAGAAGTATTCAGATGGCATCTGGCATTGGAAATAGGGATTCGTCAAGCAGCTTGATAGTTTTATAACTAATTGACTTAACGGGGCTCCTACAATCACCAGCACCATCTGCTGAGGTAACGGGGGGGTGAAAAGGAAACGATTGTGGGCTGGTCTTAGACGGTGGTCGGCGCTACTTTAAAAGAGGAAAGGATGACTGCGGGTGCCTACCGAGGTAAATTTTTATAATGACAGAGTCGGATTTCGATTAGCGATCTAGCCCGTAAATCGTTTCCTGTTTTGGTACTCAGCTAGTGATCATTTAGTATTGTTCCACCCTTGTTACTGTTAGTCGATATTGTGTTGTTGAATTGTTGTGTTGTACTCTTGTTGGTGTGATTGTTCTTGAGTGAATCTTTTATCAAGGTTGATAATTCATGATGAGGACAATAATAGTGTGGAGCAGTTCAACTCTATAATCGCAAAATACATTGGGGTAAGCGAATAAATTATTGCAAGAAGAGGTCATACCATGGAAGATGTGCTGTAGCTGTAGTGAGCCACAATACCGAGCGGCCTGTCTATGTGGTCCAGATACATTTGCGTTCTAAGCTTAGTCCAACCTCGCTTATCACTAAGATGGAACAAAGACTCAAACGCAAGAATCTTGGAAAGAAACTCAGACCAAAAATAGTTGATATAAAAATAACGAACAATTCGGATAGCAATTCCAAAGAAAATATATAATAGTTTTATGGCGAATTCTGTCAAAAACCTGACATGAACGACATTTATTTGGAGGTTGCTAAGCAAGAATTTTCAGGAAAACTTAGAAAAAGTGACGAGATTTTGCATATCGAATCATAGGACTGTGCCTTGTGGCTCCTTCGTCGGAGGATAAGGTTGACAGGGTCTCGATTTGGAGAAGTTTGTAGAAGAAGGCAGACAACAAGCTGTAAAGTGCTACTAAACTCGATCATATACTCAACAGAGTTTTCTAGTAAGGCAATAAAAAAAGGCAATACAAAAAACATTGGACACGGCAGTTCAATCTTGCGGTTTGTTTATTGATAGCAAACATCCATTTCTGGATGCATCACCTCCATCTACCTATTACAGTAGACATGTACTTAATCCAGGTATAAGCCTACCTGTTTATTGCTTTGCAAAAACCATCTAACTGTTTCCTCTTATTTTGACGGCATAAGATATTTTTATGACCCTCGTTCAATTGTTACCATCTACCACACGACCCTTGTAAACATAATTATGTTTATTGATATGAATAAACGAATTAGAATTTGAGTTCTTGAATTTATTTTAGGAAAGATATAAAATTATTTGAATACATTTTTTCTTAGTCGGAACGCACCATCGCGTACGCTTGGACTGGCAGGACGAAACAGTAGATGAATTTCGCCCAAAAACCGATTTGCACTTCACAGCTTACTTTTTATTATTTCCAAATGAAACTCTTGCAGCGTGCTAAAAACAAAATCCACAGGGTGCCAGCGATCCAGTTTTTCGATTTTATCCACTAGGATCTTTTTAAAATATCAAGAAGTTGAGCATTTCAACCCACCATAATTCTTGCGCAAAGACAAAATTTTGTAAAAAGCTCTGATAGCACCCTAGGCAATTATGGCCTGCTTATATCCAGAAAAACATCACAAACTGCAGAACACAAAAGGTAACGGTGAAATGGGTACATTTCACGGGTTATGAAATTCAAATGAAAATGCAGGTATAAAATCTACCAAATGATCGTTCTCAAAAACATATTTCCTTGACATATCGATAATTTTAAAGTTCTACGCTAAATTCCTCTACACTTGACTGAAGTGATATCCGAATTTATTCCTCGCTACTGTCGGTAGTTGCAGATCTGTTGGCTGTTGGTGTCAAACCTATAGAGCAGGTACCGATGTTTTTAAATCGTGAGCACGTTATTCGTCGGATATTCGATACTTAAGTTTCCTGTAATCACTGGGATCAGAAGCTACTTAGTAATAGAACGTGTTTCACTGATTTCAAGCCGCCTTTTTAAGCAGTACAATTTTTTATTTTAATGATTAGGAACCCCTTAAACGTCAAAAACGGAGTTTCAGCAATTGTTACTTTTTCTTTTTGGCCTGTTGCCAGTGGACTAAGACTACAAAGCTTTGGCATACTAGTAACCGCGTGTGGAAATTTCATAAAAATCCGGGCGGTAATTTCCAAGTTGATGATGAGTGATACAGTTTTTCGTGATGTAGATGTCATATGGCTTAAAAAACATAACATCTCATTTTAGAAATATTTCGCGATTACAATACTTCCTCGCCAATGACGTGGGAAGTAAAACGGCTTTAAAATCGAGGAGTATCAGCGATCGCGACTATGAGTACCTATTTGCAGAACGACTTATGTATGCGATATTATATGAAATAGGGCCACCAAATTATCTGAATACGTCCTTTCTTAGTCTACATTGCGCCGCAACCATTGACGCAACGCTTGGTTTGGCAGCACGAATCAGTAGACAAAATTCGTCCAAAATACGATTTATAGGTTTGCGCGCTTCAAAACTGACGCTTTATTTTTTGATATTTCTGGATGAAATTTCCACAGAGTGCTGAAAACAAAACCCCACAGGGTGCTATAGAGCTACTTTTTCATTTTTTCACTAGGTTCTTTTTAAAAAAATCGCAAGGTTGAACAGAAAAAGTGCGCACTTCAACCCATCATAAAACTTGTGCGAAAACAAAATTTAAGAAAATGCTCCTATAGCACCCTGGGCAATTATCTTCTGAACATACTGTATGAATTTCATTAAAAAATATTGAAAAATGGAGTGTCAGTTTTGAAGCAGCTGAACCCTTGTAAATGACTTGAAACTCACTGCGTCGGAGGAGCCTTAAAAAATAAAATTATTTGCAACGTTAATGCTTGACTTGTTTTTTTTTGTTCTACTTGAGTTGAGGTAAAGCATTTTAAAACTGCTTGGGACTTGATGGAAAATTATATTTTTGTTCTACTAAGGGCTTTCACTGGTATGTATTTGTGCAACCGATGAGCCGCATTTTGTGTTTTATTGGAAATAATCACGAGTGGTGGAAAAGTCATGGAAATATTTCCAAATCTAGTTTCAATGGCAAGAGGTTTTTTATATATACACTGTGTAAAGTTAGTAGTGGATCAACGGAAGTCAAAATGTTAATACACACAGTATCACTCGTACTGCTAGGACGCATCTAACAGTACCTCATATGTCAAAATCCATCAAGTCGTTTGGACTGTAGCTCGTAAAATAGAATTTATTCTTTACCTGTAGGTGCAGATACCCACCTGCGTCAAACACACATATTTTTAAAGTGAGGCACTTATCGTAGCAAGCTGAAATTTTCAGGGTGTATTCTACATAGGTTCAAATAGTTTTTACGGTAAAATGAGTAATAAAATACAGCCTCAATTTTTTTTGCCGCCCTCCAAAGTTGAGGGATGGAAGAGATATTTCACAGAAAAATGAATTTAAGATTTTTTGCGTTGATTTCTAATAAGCTGTATTAGAAAGTGACATAAACATTGCTAAAACTAACCATTCAACTCATCTCAGAAAAAAATCACAGCGCTAAACCTAATGGCTTAGTTGTAATTGCGATTGAATGTTCATTATCCCGTTTTTTTCGAATCTTCACAAAATTGCAAATATTTCCTGGACTATAAAATTTCGGATCACACATATAGGGACACATTCGATAGGTTTTGAGGCCCTCTATCACCTGACTTCCGTTGATCCACTACGAACTTTAAACCCTGTATATACATATATAAATATATCGAGAAGTTGTAAAGTATACACATGAGACTTGACTTGACACATGAGAGGGCAGAAAACTAAAACATTTTATTGTCGTCAATCTATTTTAGCATCCGTCTGACGATTCCATGTTTGATGATTACTTTACTTCTAGTCGATGGATTGGCCCCAAGGATCTTGGTGCGTAATTTCGCCTCAACCTTGGATTCAGTTAAAATAGTTCATCCCAGCAAGTTAACAATGGTATTCTACTGATTCATAAGTCTTCGAACTGTTTAATCAACGTCGAGAAAGACTGTCGAGACGTGTCTAAAGAAGCAGTCCTTATGTAAAAAAATCTAGGTAACTGTTGGTCTGTCAATGCCATGAGATGATTCCGTTATGGCCATTTGGTTTATGAGTAAATCAGCAATAGATTTTAAGCTTCTTATAATTTAAAACGAAAGCCAAAGTATCAAGTCAAATACACACTATAACAATTATTTTCCTAACAAAGCGGATTGATGCAAATTATACTTTACTGCTATATTATCAAATATGTTATTTAATCCCTCCTACGTCTTGAATAGGAAATCGAAAATTTAATGTTTAGTGGTATCAGCTAGTTGGAAATGCTAGTTAACCCTGCCGTGTATTCATAGGATTTATTTGGTTGCTGTTGGTGAGTAGAAAATTGAATTTGTATAGTTTTATACACATATGGGAAGTAATTTGTTTTAATCGGTCGAAAGCTCCATTTGGGTAGAGTAGTGTTTCCAAGGATGAGATGTTCATTGATCTTTTGGGCGCATATGGAACACAAATTATAATGCCACATGTTCCCACACAAAAATTCTCTAAGATGCTCCCTTACGGAGATACAAGCTCCTCAATGAAAATCGGTTTTTCTTAAATAGATCTCTGAAATTTGCAAGTTGAATTTTCATTGAATGACTATAAGCAAGAAGGAATACATTGATATCCCGTTTTTTCTTGTCAGGGTGGCCAACTAAGAATGCAAGGTAATGTATCTGGAAACCTATCCATAGTAGAGGCAAGTGGCAAAAACTTACTGAAATTACTAAAATGGCCAAGAGAAAGACCTGGAAAATATTTTCAAGTTTCTGAAATGACCGCTAGGTGGGTCTAACTGCAATATTAAATCTAAAAAGTGATGTATGCAACCTAACAAAAATACGTGATCTTCAATTTAAATTTAAACCTTTTTTGTTTGAAAATTTTAGCTGTATGTCTAAAAAGTGGTAGGGGTATACAAAGGTTTCCGTAAATAACTCTCTGTACTTAACGGCTCAGCCCATGTTAACAAGCGTGGGATAATATTCTTGGGCTACAAATGTTTTGTTAATTTCACATGTGGCCGCTAGAAGGCATTCCAACAGAAATGGTTAATTTTCTCAAAAAAATAAATATTTTGGTAGGATTTTTTCTTATGAAAAAGTATCTAAATGATGTTTGAGCAAGCTCGCGAAAACCGCATCTTCATATATTGTTCTTAACATAAAATTTAGACCAAATAAAGTTTTACACGGAAATCCCTTAATTTTTTCTTAGCTAGTTTTTATAACCCTTGTTGAACATATTAGAAATATCGCTAAACTGTAAGTAAGTTATGCTAATAACAAAAGGCATATATTTGTTTAAATGCATATTCATTCTATAATGCAATATTAGAGGATATTAACCAGATTTAATTTTTCTAGAGAATTTAGTATCAAGATGTTGAAATAAGCAGAGAACCACCAATCATAGTCATCATGGAAACCAATACTGGCAATAATACGAAATGGATGAGCATTGGAGAATTCTACCACTTTGTCTTCACTGAACTTGCAGGTCAGTATATCCAAGAATGGATACTTTCCGTTCCCAGTATTATTTCAACCTAGCCTTGGACATTGCTTTGAATGTCCTTACTTCACTTTCGAAACTACGAGTATATCTGTGACGACATATATAGAGGGTGTTTAAAATAAACGTCAAGATATTATCATAGGGTACAGATCATTCATTTCGCATTAGTGTGAAGAAATAAATGCAATATTCTAAGTAATCCAATAGTTTCCTTTAGCAAGCAACATTTTTATCCAACTTTTACAACAATAAAATAATTTCCATGTTTCGATATCCCCGACGAAAAGTAAGTAGTTTGCGTGAAATTGTATCTGATTTTAAAATGACCTCGAACGTTATTGTCCAGTACATTGGCAAGGATATACGTGAACCTAATATTATCTACGAATTACATTTCAGGAATTAAGGATAGATGTTTCCCGTTAAAAATCCATTTGATCTTCAAATAACCTTGAACGTCATAGTCAAGGCTCTGGTCATATTTGAACACTGGTCTTTTTCTTTCTGATGTCAAAAATAGGTGTTTAAATTTGAGAAAACTGTTATGACCTTTGAATGAGCTTAAAGGTCATAGTCATGGCCACGTTCAAGGGCACCGTAGACGAATATTTTCAAACCTAACAGCTACACTACACAACATTTTTCGTCATGAAACTTATTTGTCGAGACATTTTGTCCTTTCACTACTTTCTAAACATCCCCAAATGCCCATGATCATGGTCAACGTCTTGGGTAAAGGCGTTTTCCAACGAAAAACTTCACATGGTCGGTGTTGAAGATAGAATTTTCAGATAAGAAAGCTGACTTGCATGTCAAATAACCTTAAAGGCCATGGTCAAGGTCACCTTCAAGCTTTTCAATGGCTTATTCTTCTCAAACATATTTTTCAAGATATGTTGATCTATCCATGGTTATTGAACACTGTATATCTTAGTGGATAAAATCATGCTTATAATCTTCATCGAGTTTCAGTTAGTAAATGTAAACATTTTTACGTGTGTACGTATTGTGGTCCAGACGTGTCGTTTACAGACTGGACAGAGATTCCCTGAGACTTTTAAATTTACATAAATAGCCCCTGAAGTTATAATTTGGAAATCGCCGAAAATGTTGTTGCTGACGGTACATCTTGCACCCCGTGATTTAATAATTTTTTCTCAGAATTGCCCATTAAATCAACCCTTAGAGCATGGCTAACACTCTGTATATCATCGGAAACACGTGATCTTTGGTGCCTTTGGACGCTGGAGCTGAGTTCGTCCCTTGTATAAAGTAGTATCATACCTCAAGGGCTTACCCAGCTCAAAACGGAAGTTCCACAAATCTTACCCGCTTAGCTGTGCTTGATATTTTTATATCTATTTGCATTGCATTGTTCATAGTAGCCAAAAGTTAAAGCTTCTGTAGTGATTAATATAAAAAATCTTCAAAAATGCTCGAGCAACAACTTAAACAGAGTTTTTAGCATGTAATTGGACAATATCTCCATTTATATAAAACATAATCAAAAATGTTATATACAAAAATTGTGGAGTATACGCTTCCAACTTGGAATAGACTGCTCCTTACAGAGTCATTCATACCGACATGACATTAGGAACGATTCTTTTTAATGGAACACCGTACATCTTTTAGTATCTAGTATAATATATATATTCTAATATGCCACTTTAAAGGAAAACGTTTTGATATAGCTTGGGATAAGACATGTTATACTAATTACAATAAATTACTTGAAATTTCGTCATATAATGAAAAATGATTTTATAGAAAATGTAGAAAGATATGTCCTACTTTGTTGTAGAATGATTTGTAAGACAAATTTATCATATTTTCACTACGGTGATCTCCGAAACGGTAAGAGATACGGGTCGGTTAAATGGTGGCAAAGTTGGCGTTTTATTTAGTCTTATTTTAAACAATGCATTTGGAAAGTTTTGACGCTCCAAATATGTTATTCCCGATTCTGAATTGAGATAGGATTTCAAAATAAACTTCATATCAACATTGAGACCTTTTGATCTCTGCAAGGTGGCATAAATAGAACATTAATATATTTCGTCTCTTACCCCCTGTCTCAATTTTTGATTTTTCTCATGTCTGCCATTTTTGCATAGCTTTCAATTCTGATTTCAAATATTATAGCATGTCACACTACCATACGAAAGATTCCTGAGTGAGCTTTGAAATTACCATATAGTGATTTATATCATACAATACCAAGGATGATAACATGTTACGGATTTATATAAAATTCCAAGTGCTCATATAGTTGGTTTAAACTAAGCGCATACAGCAACATAAAGTTACCCTTAACCCATGTTATTAAAGGACCGAAAACTGTATATTTTTTTTTTCCTGCTCAACTTTTTTTTTTATTTTAAGCTGCATCAGCCGTCTGTCTATTAGCAGCGGCATTGGTCTCGTATTACAGTTGATGAAGCATGTTACAGTTATGTAAGAAATCGATTAGATTTTGGATGTTACAGTTTGTTCCAAGGATATGTTTTAGATTTTTCCCACTTAAATTAGATTGTTGTCTTTGATGCTCGTAGACTTGGCACTCCACAAAGCACACACTGGTTCAGGTTGCTGGGTGATGAGGTTCAGGTTGCTGCTCAACTTTGTCCTCATAAGAATAGTATTTACTGTAATCCGTCAAAATATTTATCATACAATGTGATATTTATTGACCGTGTAGCATGGACATCAGTAATTATTGATGCATAATGTTACGTAGAAATCCACTGATACGGTACTGTCCACAGTAAATACTGATCGTGTCACATTCTCTTTACCGTTTCCGAGACCCCAAAGGCGATGTTCGGATTTGAAACACACGTAACATATGTATACAGTGTTTTTAGCAAAATTTAAGTTTTAATAGATGTTGATTCATCTTGTACAGGAATAATTTGATTGATTTTTGTCGAGCTGGGTAAAAGGGGGGCTGCTACGCCTCCTTTCCCCCCCTGGGTACGCCATTGCCATACCTGAATACCTTCATCGTTCCTCTTGGTACAATATTTTTCAACGAAACTAGATTATTTCATCCTAGAGGGCGCAACATATAAGCTATTAACAAGGGTATCAGATTTTTGGTAGCTATTAATTAGCATTTCCTAACACACTGTCCTCTGAATGGCGAGCCAGGGGACCCTCCGGAATTACATACTTGGAAAGATCTAGTTTCCGTAATCTGCAATCCGTGAGGATGACGTGACGATGGACATTAAAGATTATGTCAACTTCACTGGATTGCGATGCGAACTGGTCGATACGCGCGTTGCCTTCGCGTTGCACACTCCTCGTATGTGAGATCGGAGAATGTAATACAAACAAAATCTTACGGTGGTCAACATTGAAAAATGTTCAAGAGTGTTTTATCTAATGGCGTTTAGATATAAATATGCTGGATATGAAAATATCCCTCTACCTCAGAGTCAGACTAGGTTAAGCCCATATTTGCCTAAAATGGGTTTTTCATATTATGTTGATAATGTAAATTTCTATTTGCTACTTGCAGCGTCCACCTATTATTATCTCAAAACCGCACAACCTAGTCTGGTTCTGAAGTATATATACAGTGTGTTCCTTAATGATATGCGAATATTTAAGGGTGTGAATCTAGATGAAAAATTAAAGTTAGCTTGCTTTATGAACTATGGTCCAAAAATGTTTCCTTACAAAAACTTGGGTGTTGAAGTTTTGGGAAAAATGGAAATTAATTAATATTTTCAGAACCGCTTCAGATACTTCACTTATATTTAATACGTAGTGAAAGTTAATAAAGTTGCATATTTTTCAACGCAAAAATAATTTTTAGCTTTAACAGTGGCGTGCGTACGGGTATTGAATTTGACATTATTTAAGAAAAAAATGGTACGCCAACAGCTTTTTGTCAAAAAAAATTATTTTTGAATTACCCTTTCAATTTAAAACAAATGATTTCTCTTGAATTGTTTTCCTTAAATACGCCATTTTTGAGTACAAAATAAAAACCGTTCTATTTTCCGAGAAAATTAATGTAATAATTGAAGAATGCAATTTAGCAATAAATATCTAGTTGCTTTGGAATATGTCACTGGCTTTTGACGTCTGACAAGTCTCTGTCATTAAAATCTGTTCGCGGTGACATGTTGTTAATAATGGTGAATTATTAAAATGCAGAAATGGCGGAAATGCATTACGTATATGGCCTTGCCGACGGTAATGGTGAGCAAGCCAGACGGATTTATCACCAGAGATATCCCGATCGTGCTTTGCCAGATAGTCGTTACCTTTTCTAATATTCATCGTGGTCTTGTTGAAACTGGTTATGTCCGAAAAGGAACACCTGAAGGTAGACCTCTAAGTGTGAGAACACCTGAAATTGAGGAGGAAGTGCTGCACGAAGTCGAAGAACATCCTAAAACGAGTACGAGGAAGATCGCTACACTTAAATATTTGCCATCGAAATATTTGGAGAATTTTAGTGGATTTTTTGTTATATCCTTACCCTGTTTTAAGAGTACAGGCATTACTTCTCATTGATTTTCCAAGGTGTGTGACCTTTTGTCAGTGGTATCTTCAAAAAATTACGCAAAATCCGCAATTTTAATCAAGGATTCTGTTCACGGACGAAGCTAATTTTTCTCGAAATGCCATTCAGAATTTCCACAATAATCATTTGTGGGCAGAAGCAAATTCCTTTTCCGTAACCGAAACCCATTTCCAACACTAATTTTCTGTTAAGGTATGGGCAGGAATTATTGGCAACCACTTTATTGGCCCATTCTTTTAGCCGGGACGTCTTGGCGAACAGACTTACCTCAATTTCCTTCAACAACAGTTGCCTTTGGTACTTGATGATGTTCCGCTAGTAATAAGCAACATTATGTGGTACATGCATGATGGTGCACCAGCGCATTTCAGTGTAGCGGTTCATAATTATTTACAAACTGTTTATCCAAATCGTTGGATTGACCGCGGTGGGCCCCAAGAATGGCCATCAAGGTCCCCAGACCTCAACAGTGTAGATTTTTTTGTGGGTCTATCTTAAGACACTAGTGTACACAAGTCCCATTAACACTGTAGAGGAATTAAGAGAAAGAATAGTTACGGCTTGTGATAGAATAAAAAACACTCCAGGGATATTTCAACGAGTGCGCAATTCCATGAGAAGGAGGGCGGAAGCATGCATACTAAGTAAAGCGGGCCGTTTTCAACAATTTTTGTAATCATTTCGTTGGTTTTAATGTTATGTTTATGTTGTCAGTTGTTGTTCATTACCTCTAATGGCGCATCGAAGAAAAACATTTCAAGACAGATCATTTGTTTTGAACTGAACGGGGAATCCAATAAGAATTTTTATTTGGCAAAAAACCATTGGTGTACTATTTTTTTCTTAAAACATATCGAAATCAATACCCGTACGCACGCCACTGTTAAAGCCTAACAATTATTTTTGCATTGAAAAATATGCAACTTTATTAACTTTTACTACGTACTAAGTATCAGTGAAATATCTGAAGCGGTTTTGAAAATATTAATTAATTTCCATTTTTTCCTAAAACTTCAACACCCCGAGTTTTTGTAAGGAAACATTCTTGGAACATAGTTTATGAAGCAAACTAACATTAATTTTTCAGATTCAGATTCACACCCTTAAATATTCGCACATCATGGAATACCCTGTATGCCCGCGATCCTAAATGTGGGCAGTTTGAAAAATCTTACCAATCAAATGTGATAATCATATTTCGAGCCAGCTTTATGAAGTATATATACTAAGTGATATATAAATCCGAACACCCAGTTTAAATGGTTTTATTTTAATAAAATTTTGTATAAGTACTTAATGAAGCATAATAAGTAAATGATAAAAATTTCAAAATGATTGCACTGCTTTAAAGCCCTTTGACCTTTAATAATGTGTCGATGCACCCTGATGTGCTACGCATTCTCCAACGCGCCTAGGCATGCTTCTGATCAGGTGGTCAATGTCCTCCTGTGGTATCTCATTCCAGGCAACCACCAACTCCTCTCGAAGTGCTTCTACAGTCTGAGGAGGACGTTGCAAATTGAGCAATCTCCTACCCATCATATCCCACACGTGCTCAATTGGGGATAAGTCGAGAGATCTTGGTGGCCATGGTAACAATGTGACATCATTATGTTGAAAGAAGTCTATTGTGACTCTTGCAACATGTGGTCGGGCATTATCTTGTTGGAAAGTTGGATCTGCCAGGGTGTCAAGATAGGGTAAAAGATGGGGTTCTAGAACTTCGTGGATATAACGCGGTGGTATAACGCGTTCATGTTACCTCTGATGAAGATTAAAGGTGACCTGGAACCATAAGCTATAGCACCCCAAACCATAACTCCAACAGTGTGATGAACATGTCTTTCAACAAAAAACTGTGGATTCCTCCTTTCACCACGTCGCCTTCTAACCCTGGCACGACCATCGTGCATGCCTAAACAAAATCGAGACTCGTCACTAAAGACAATACTGTTCCATTTCTGATCCCAGAGTGACCGTTGTCTGCACCACTCAAGGCGATTACGTCGGTGTTCTCGAGTTAAAGGCAGGACCTAGTGTGGCCGGTATGAAAACAAGCCAAAACTTCTCATTCGTCGGTAAACACTTCGCATGCCAATAGGTCTTCCGTGTTCTGCAAACCATTCATTCGCAATGGACCTGATAGCGGAGAAGCGGTCCCTTAAGGCCAATAATCTTAGGCGGCGATCTTCACGGTCTGTTGTTCTACGGCGGCGTCCAGAGCCCCTTGCTCTTTGCGTACGACCTTCTCGAAGCCATGCCTGACAACACCTAACCACAGTGTCTACACTTCTTTGCACTCTAACTGCAATTGCCCGAAAAGAAACTCCAGCTTCCCGAAGTCCCACTATACGGCCCCTATCAAACTCACTAAGTTGACGAAATCGTACAGGTCTCCGTACTCTAGGCATCGTAACCGATCGTAAAGGATGTCAAGAACCAAGTCCGCCAACGTTGATTCTTTACTGCGGCTGGAATATTCATTTTTAGAGCGTTAGTGAATTAAAAAAAAGCAGTATTCGGATTTATATGTCATTTAGTATATTTGTAGAATAGTATTATCAACCAGGAGGTCAGTTGATTCGACTAAATAAATTAATTATACTACTTCTTTGCCTATTTTAATCGCTCTAGTCCCTTAGTCTCATTTGCTTTGCATTCTCTAATTTTCCAATACTGTCAAGTGCAAATAGTAGCTTAGCTATCTACAATGCCACAGTAGAGTGGAGTTCTTTATCATTTCCAAATATTTGTATTATCCATATACTTTCTCAAATGGCAGGATCGTAGGTTTGCCTTTCTCATAGAATTAGTTGATTTAGTTGTTTGATTGGAAACTTTCTGGATAACCAAGTCTTTGGTTAGAGTCGCTCAAACCAAAACCTTTTCAGTTGCATTTCATATTTGCACTGATTAGTAGCAGTAAACTGAAAAATCTTCAGGCAGAATAATCTATAGCGGCCATGGACTTCTTTTTGTCATATTGCGGTGAAGTATGTGTTAAAATTAACCTATGTTGGACGCAGTATGATGACCACGGGAATTATCCTTATTTATTTGTTAGGCTATTACAATAACAAAATTAATTTTTAATTTTAATGGTAACTAGAATGAAGGTATCTCCAGTAATAAGCGTGTCTTGGCGTGTTAGAGCCGCAGCGCTTCATAATCGCCCACTTCTACAGACATAAATAATTATTATGCAGGTATTTTTCAGTTTCTTCATTTGTTCCAGATCCCCGAACCAGTTCGTATGTTTTGATAGCAGACCCATTACCAGGCCTAGGGATTTTAGCCTTCTACATATACTTCGTCAACAGTTTAGGTCCAAGATTCATGAAGAATCGCGAACCTTTCAATCTACAGAGGACAATATATGTATATAATACTTTGCAAGCCAGTTTGAGCTTCTTCATGTTTGTCGAGGTAGGGTAATACGTTTATTATTTCTCACGCCCATATAACTGTAATCGCGAATATTTCGAATATCAGATGTCTTGTTTTTTGAACGTTGCATGACCTGAAAAACCATTGACTAATCTTCATCGCCTTTAGTAAAATTTTGGCGGTTACTACGATGTCAAGTGACCGAAAAAAATCACTGAAATATCGTTTTTCGACGTTTCAGAAACTACCTTTTCTATTTTCTTTTGGATTAAAATTGTAAGTATGGGCTGTGAGAGGTAGGTGAGAGTATATCTAATTTTTTTGGAGTTAGTATATTCGAATGCTCCTAGCCCCGGTAGTTCTACGCAGCTACCCAGGTAGCCAAAGCACGTCAAAGCGACGTTACAAGCTGGACATGAAATGACGCGAAAGCACGTGTTTAATAACGTGAAAAGAGCGTGGGAGTGACCTCCTAATGTCATATACCGATGACTTCATAAGGCAGACGTCAATAATACGTCACTTGCTGGGCGTGGTGATGTCGTCTATTATAAATAATGAATAACCAGTTACAGCTTCCTCAAAAATCATACACTGAGATATACTCGTGAAACTCTCTTAGTGAAGAAACAGTGGGTGCGACAACAGTCAATTTATTCTGAAATAAGTTGGATAAGGGACTAGAAGACAGAGAGGCACGGTTCGTTCATTATTCAGCATTAAAAAAAGATTTACACGACAGTGTCATCAGACTTTTACGCCTACTGTTATAGTGCTAATAATAATGGTAGTATAACTCAGATGGAGCACTACACATTGTAACACTGGCTCAGTGCTACTCGACTAGCGACGAAAAACGATCAATTAATGGGCCCCACACCTCTCACTCGACCAGTTGGGGTGGGAACCCTCCGTTAATGTTGCCATTTTACACTATATGAGTTAATAATCCAAACACAAAATTCTAGAGAATTAATGTCACATTAGCCTGAAACTGTTTTAGAAGTGGCTTACTGATAGTTTAAACGTGAAAACATTTCCAAGAATACATAACATGGTATCGCTAAAATATCAGTACTTTCTCATTTTTTACTCGTATATTCTATTCTGTTAAAATGTCTTGTTTTAATTAACTTGAGATAAAAGAGCTTAATTATCGCTTAAATATTTTCACTGGGAAGAGTTATTTATAAACGTTTAGTTCACTTCAAGAAAATTGAAATTTAGAAAATGTATTTTTAATCTTATTTATAAAATTTCTAACCGCTATTTTTATGTCAAAGTATACTACTGTTGCATCAATTTCATCAACCCGAATTAAGCTTGCTAGCATCAGCCGTTTAAAAAATGTTGCCGACGCTTGGGGTATTTCACATTGCGTAGAGCAACAGACAGGTAACAAAGGCATTGAAAAATATAAGCAATTAGAACAAATACAAAAACAGCAATACCTTAGTAACCTTATTCACGTGTACTGAAGACTAGGCTTTTGCATAAGCCAAATAACTTTTTTTTTAAATGGGACCTGGTCTTTTCTTCTAAGTCTTCGACGGTGAAACACAGACTTAGAAACGTCGATGTTTCTGGAAAAACACTTTATACCACCTCCAAAGGATCGTATCGAGAAGAGAAAGTCCATGTCAATTATCATTGTGCCTCCTGAAAATATTGCACTTGCGGCTGTTGCAGGTCACGCTAGCCATATAAACAAACACTGTAATTCTGCGCATCCTGTAATTACATTCTAGTAAGGTCTCTGTCAATCCGTAAGTAGGTAAATATGTAGGCAAGCACTTTGTTGAAAATATGATATCCCAAGAACCCGCTGCATCTAGATAACAGTACTAGATTACCACTTACATGGCGACTTACAACAATTTAATTGGAAGTACATCTCTCTATATTCTACCAATCGCAGCCCCGACAATGCTGAAAGAGCGCCCCTACAAAATCTTTAATATTTTATCGTTAGACGGTTCCTCAACCATCCTACAATTAAAATAGCAATATATTATACTACCTGTCTATCTCTTTGCAACAACTTCGATTTGCACTCTTAACACGAGGCTCCATTTTGGGGGATCGTCAGTCCTCTACGGGTGATGTAAAGGAAAAATGAACCCTGGCAGCAAACGCAATTCAATCACTATTTTTCGTTACTTTATTATTAAATTATCACTAACCAAAACATTATTTGTAGATATTATCAGCAATGTGGTGGAACCGATATAGCTTCAGATGTGAACCTGTAGATTATTCCACCTCTCCACATGCCTTGAGGGTGAGCATTTGAAGTTTGGTGAGATTACATATAACTTAGACTTCTCTGCATTCTATTTTTTCTGCAATCTAGTCATGAATAAATCTACTTTGGCTCTCCACAATCAAACCATTGCCATTTCTACCATTTTAAATGAAGCTCCCCATTCCTCTTTTAGGTAGCTAGAATGGTGTACATATTTTTCATCGCCAAAATGACAGAACTGATTGAAACAGTATTTTTCGTGCTAAGAAAAAAGCAGAAGCAAGTTACTTTTTTACATTGCTATCACCATGCTGTGATGCCTATGGTTACTTGGGGTGCAACGAAGTACTTTGCTGGAGGTCATGGTACATTTATAGGTCTGATCAACTCATTCGTGCATATTATTATGTATCTGTATTATCTCCAGGCTGGAATGGGCTATAGAAATCTCTGGTGGAAGAAGTATATCACTATGATGCAGTTGGTATGTTTTTCGATTAAGAGATGATTTTTATTTTTTATATCACCCTTCTCTTAAATTATTGAGAAACACATGACATTACAAAAAATATTTATTTACACGTTTAAAATTTTAAGGGGTATCGGCAAAAGCCTCGCGATTTATGGTAAGTTTGTCTTAAACATGATGAACTGTTATATACCTACATGATCAATGTTTGTAGCAATTGCCAAGGAGCTAGTAGACATTAGATAAAATTTGAGAAGTTAGGAAAAATTGTTTGTTCAAAACCTATGACATTTTTTAACATTTAACAATAATTATGTGAATCTCTCTTGTTCCCGATCTATTTACTATCCCTATTCAGATATTATGAGAAAAAATCGATTTAAAAGTATGTGGCATGTTAGAGGCTTGTAAATGATCTCAAAAAATATGATCATGTATCGAAAGCCATTATTGACCTCAAATAGATGCAAATTGATAAAATGTATAAATACCAGCTCGTGGGTCTGACTCATAGGGTTATTTACTCAAAAAGACCGTGATATTCATTGAACAAATTCATTCATAGAGTAAATGTGCATGGCATTAATATTAGATATAGAGAAATGTTTTCAATCCCACGCCACAGCACATCTCTATTTCAGAAACATATATTTATAAGGCATGGATTGTGGGCCTCTCTATGAGTTGTGGACCTCGAAATTCTCCTTCCAACAGCGTCACTCCACAGAGCACTTAATTGTAAATAATTGGCATGCCTGTTTTTCACGATTATTCTTCTTAATGTTCTTCGGTCGGCATTTGTGATACTACTTTTTTTCACATATCGTGGCTTAATATTAACTGAACCAGTTACGTTATATCTTCTAACAATATTTCTCACAATGTACCGCGATTAGTCTAACAGAGTTGCAATTTCTGAGTTTGATTTCCCAGAATTAAAAAAATTAATTATCAGTAAACGAATTTTCTCACTAATAACCTTTCCTCTACCCATTTTGAAAACCTTAACTACCCAAAACTATTTTAAACGTATTCTGACAGCTGTGATTAATAAAAACAATTGTCATGGCTTTTATTTTTCACAGCAATACCTATGCGACTTATTTTGCATTGAAAGGAAAATAGGTTGATATGCTGTAATTGCAACATGTGTTATTTTTATGCTGCAAATTTGATTAGGGAGTGATAATGTTGGTGTTTTCTACTATATATTATCAAAATATTTATTGTTAATATTTTAAACCTATAACACCCTGCTACATTTTTATTATTTGTGTTTGATAAGAAAAAAACTAAGATTTCAATAGTTGGGCCAACTGAAGTGGGAAGGGGCTCGTAGAATAGATAGATTATCCAAATCTCGCTTACTGTAGTGTTATTACAAATAAGAAAGATATTATTTTTATATTTATTTCCAGGGACAGTTTCTGCTCTTCTTTGTGCACTTCGCTCAACTATGGTTCATAGAATGCGACTTTCCGAAATGGACCGCCCTCCTGATTACCCCACAGGTTCTATTCTTCATTTATCTCTTCTCCAAGTTCTATATGAAATCGTACAAGAAGAACGATGAGAAAGACAACCTACCTGGCTATCAAACTGAAGGAATCCGTGAAAATGGTGAAAGCATAAGGAAGAGAAATGTTGCTTTAACCCAACGTTCTAATGTATTCGATGGACAGATTGGCGATAGAAAAGTAATAAAGAATGGATGAAACACTTTTATTTTCAATACCCTCTTACTTATAGTTCCTATAGTTTGCGAGTACATGCAACACGGATGTGCAGTCATACGTTGACGGATAAAAAATGTGTAGCTGAATGAAAAAAAAAGTATGCCTAGAAGATGGTCCAGAGTCATACTATCAAACCCTTTATTATCAAGGATCACGTACTCAACTGTTTTCAGACAATATTAAATAATAAAGATAGTCATCTATACCCAGTCATTCAAAACGATAGTTGCCAGTTTTAGGTAGTGGTAGCTGGTACGCGTCCATCCATCATACAATTTTCTAAACTAAGCATAAACACGATGCTTTTCTTCGTCCGACAAATCATGGACAGCTGTTTCGTGCTTTTTGGCTACTCATCAGCACGGTCTAGGCTCGGTCTCTCGTCTTTGGCACAACGCACGAAAGCATCGCAACTATCCTGCATCCAGGAGGTACAGTCTATCGGAACAGGACAGTGCAAAAGTAGACCACATCTATTGTACAGCCAGAATCGTCAGCCCTCTAGCGGGCTGGGCTATTAAACGCGAACTGAGATCTTTATAGTTCCAACATATAGCTGCTACACGCTCTTCACAGTGGTCGATTCTGGTGATAGATGGCGCTTAGCGCTGTATTATTTATATGGCTTTCTAGTTGGAATACATTATATCCTTTTTTCAAAGACTGTGGAGTATAACTTCTGCGGGTGTGTTGGAAAACACGTATTTGATATCCCCGATAGCATTTAATATTTACTAAATATTTTAAAAAAAAGTTTGTTAAATATTTGTAGCGACAGATTTTTTAATATTCAATAAATACATTTCTTATATATTCATAAAATATTCATTATAGATATTTGTAGTTTATAATTCATATATTTTTGCGATATTTTTTCCAAATATTTGGAAAATATATGAGGAAAAATTTTTAAATATCAATTTTATATTTTGAGGAAATATCTAATATTCTTCGTAAATGTGTATAGGATTTTCAAGCATTAATTTGATACATATTTTCAGTGTATATAGAAAATTCTTCGTTGGTTACCTTAGCAAAATCTGTAGGAATGCTTTTATAAAATTGGGCTTATAAGGAAAATTAATTTTAGATATAATGGTTTAATTTGTTATTAAAATATCATTAAAAACATTCTAAGCCTCTTCTACATCTTGCAAATCCATTACTCTGAAAAAAAACTTACTAAGTATGAAGTATTATTGAATACATAAGTTGGTCTCCAGTGGTCTTTTTTTTGAGAGATAGATATTCTCCCAGCTTTATAATGCACCCAAAAGGACCCAACATTTTCTTCCTAGGAGAGTTCGAGATTTGGTTAATTTTTAAGATTTGGTATGTTATGTTAGATATCTTGATAAAAAATGTACTTAATACAATTTGATTCTCTGACTAACTTTCTAAGAAAAGGCTTTTAAAAATAGACCACTTACTGATTTTGTTGAAATGTGACTTTTTTGTAGTGGCAAGGGGACTAATTTAGCCATAACTATTTTGTGATTTTATATAATAATTTAATGGACAAAAATATAGTAATTTCGACTGTTAAAATTTTGGAACGTCGCTATTGAACTTAAGAATTTTGAAATAGTTACTGATTTGCCCCCTACTACAACAAAAATAATAATAATTCGAAAAAAGTATTTTTGATATATATATCAAGTTGCGATTGAATAACTTTTCATTGGGATGTTATGAATATAATTTTTGTATCCATTTCCAGATAAATCCACCAATCCAAAATCTCAAATAGCTGATACACGTCAAGGCTAGTTATTTATGGTCTTGTAAATACCTTTATACTCAACTGGCACCTTAATGTTTGCTAGTGATAAATTAAGCTATGTAATTATTGAAAGACTTACTCTTTTCCCTTTTCCACAAAAACACTCAACTAATGTATCACTTGGGGGTACACATGAAGCACGCTATCATAGGCAAAGTGGATGCCGGCAAACGGATTGGCTCAGGTCGGCTTGCCATTGGTCGCTCGGGGACACATGCACATGCGCCCTAGCCGACAATATGTTCTAAATATTGGGATTTAATATTTTCCATTGATTAAAAAGTAAATATTCAATGAATATTATAAAAGAAATATTGTATTTAAAATATATTGAATAAATATTTAATAAGAATTGGATGGATTGGAAGTGAACTTATTGAAATCCTTAGCATTCATCCCCGAAGTAAATCAGTCGAAAGGATTTTATCTTTCTTTCAGATGTGGATACAGTATGTGCATGGATTTAATGTCAAAGTTCAACTCCATGGCAGAAATAAAGTCACATGCGAAAAATTCGTGACGTCACAGGTTTGGCGCGAACTTTTACGTGTGAATTTTGGTGGGCAGGTTATACTAGTGGCCGTCACAGAAAAACGTAAAAATACTCTGATTATACTTTCTGGAAGGTAATTATTGAGATATCGTAGAAATAAAAGTTGTAGTATATCCAAATTCGAAGCAAAGGTAGTAGGAAATGAATAAAATCTAACTCAAACTTAACCTTTGTTATATTTGAACTCTGGTAGCTTAATCTAATTCTTACAAATAAAGACTAATGAATAAATTATTAAGATCACTGGTTGTACAAGTACATTTTACAAGAATGCCTTTATGTACAAAAAATCCCTGGCATGCATACAGAACCATTCTACTTGTTGGCCGTCTGAGATGCATCGCTAGACTAAATCGAAGATAAAACATATAATTGATTCAAGATGAATTGAAGATACTTGCTTATTAGATAATCTTCTTTGGACAGTTCCAGTATCGGAGCATGAAGCACAATTAATTTTGCTTAGCTTTATTCGTATGTACTTATACGAACTTTTAGCTTTAACAGTAGTCTATCGCATCACTCATTGCACTTATCTGTTAAGTGATACAAGTGAAGCTGATCAAATGTTCTTATCGCATGAACTCGATTCAAAGCGATCCAGGGGCTCAGAAGGCTTACAGAATTGATATTTATACGTTATACAGCCAGACCGAAAAACCCGTTTCTTTATTAGCTCAGCGCACAGCTTATGATTTGAATAAATTGCTTACTCCACAAATAACAAAGAAATTTCAACTTGAATTGAATCTATCTTTACTTTCGTTTTGCTTCTTACTACCCTTCAAAGTCGCTGAAATATCCCTACGCGGGAGCATTCCTGGAAAAGTACTATTCTAACACAATGTGGACCATGTCTTTGTGTGAAGCAATAAAAAGATACCAAAAGCATTGGAAGGTTTAAGTATTTGAGAAAAATAGCAAAATGACTATGCCTTGGAAACGTGTACTCAAAGAATGTGTCCCAACCTTTCGAATAAAAATTCAACCCCAAATGCGGGAGAGAATACGTTTCTGATATTTTATTTACACTAGAATATGGTATCTATCTAAGTTGTTACAACACTTAAAGTGAAAAAACATTCCCCTACAAGGGAGATGGTTGAAGTACTCTTTTGTTGACATTACTCCGATTCATCCAGCTTTGAAGTGACCTTCTGCCTTTTCTCAAGCAATGAAAACAAGCAGACGTCAGTTTATACTCGATAATTTTATTAAGCTTGAGCTTCATACAAGCAGTGATTCCCATGAGATCAGTCAACTAATAAAATAACTTAGGTGTAGTTTTGAACAAACAAACTGGAATGCCCATGCAGTGTAACTGGAGAATAGACTGACATGTATTATTTCAAAATTCAGATAAAAAATATCTATACAATCTTTATTATCATCTCATCTACCCTTTAATACTTTACGGAATTTTGGCTTCGGGGGAGTTGTAGATAATCATTACAAAAAGATTGATGTTATCAAGAAATTAATTCTGAAGTTGATCCTGCATGAGGAGGTCTCAATTATTAGATTGCAGACAAATTCATTGTTATAGTATTTTTTATATAAATATATGTATTATATTAAACATTCGAAACACTTGAAGTGTGTCATTCATTACCACAGAACAAGATTCAATCAAAAGTCAGTGTTATTCCACAAACATCTGAAACATCGATTTTTTTTATTGGGACCAAAATTCTGTAACTGCATACCAGAGTCATTAAAAGCAGAAAAATCATTTAGATAGTTTGAAAAAGAGCTCAAGAAATGGATTTTAAAACAACTAAAATGCCCAATCCACGAAATTGAAATGAAAAATCAATAATATTTGACTTATCGCCAATTCTCATACAAACAATACTTTTAGTTTAGTCTGGATGTTTTTCCAAATATCCCCGTATTAATGAACTCACCAAATTATGAGTATACAGTCGCCCAAGCACACGTGCATAATTTTTTTGGTACTTTATGTTCATTTTTAGGATAGTTGTTGAACTACCATACTTGAATAAGTACCATACTCTAGTGGAAATAAAATGGACCAAATTAAGTCGAATTTTTGCAATGAGAAACATTTGATCAGCTTCACTAGTAGAAGATAACCCCAAAGTTCAGAGAAAATCCACCAAAATCACATTTTTGCATTGTGGTCAAAGTTACTCATAGAGATTCAACATGAAACATCATATTATCGGATAAATTGTTCCAGCTTGTAAGAAATGCCCAGGAGTCTCCAGTCGAAAAATGGACCACTTTGTATCAAGTTTTGCTTTTTTGACATGTTACGAGATATATAGCATTGGTTAATGATCTCGACTATCAACAACGAAAAAACAATTTGGTTAAAAATTGCCCGAAAAAGTAACGCCGACGTAAATAAATATGTAGTTCATCACAAGGTGTGCTATTGATCTTTAACTGTCTTCGCATGACCATTCGAAAGGCCATTCGTGCTTTGAGACTCCGTCTTCGGTTTCTTCTTGTAAGCCTTCCTGTAGAAATCGCTGAAGAGGTACAGGAATATCACTACGTTGCCGACGAAGAAGAAGGTCAAGGCCTTCGGTAGTTTGCAGTCCATCAGGATGATCGAAAAGAGGTAGGCCAACATTATGCAAAACTGGGTCTGTAATGTAAGATTAAATCAATGAAAGTTATGGTAAGTTTGAAAACCCTGTAAAGATTCAACATATGGCTGTGACCACACACGTTTGGAATTACGATTCCATTTATTGAAGGTAGGGGAGACCGGGGATGGTTGTTACAGGGGTTGATTGTTACAGTGCGTTTTACTACCACCGTATAGATGGCAGCATCTTCGCAACGACATTTTCAGGAAGAACCGCCCGTTTCGTCTGTCGCCTCCTAACATAATTAAGTTCCGCTTGAGTGCGCATGTGGTATGTTGCTTTCGTTGTTTTCGAGGCTCTGGAGAAATTTTTGTTATTGAAAAATATTTGTTTATGGAGTTGCCTGTGGTGGTGAAAACCACTTTATGAGGTGATCAATTTATAATATCAGGTTAGTACTTTTATAATGTATTGTTTTTATTCGGATAATTATAACAAAAATATTTGAGAAAAAACAGAAAATGGCGGATAGGGTTGGTTGTGACACCTTCAACGGGGCAGGTTGTTACTGTCACAACCTACCCCATGAAAAATTCTATCGGTGCGTTTAACATAATAAAAATTGTTTCAGACAGATAATGAGGAACTATATTCGCAAAACCGAAAGGGGAAAACACCTGTAGATATTTTTGAACGAGCTGCGAATGAGGTTCTTGTAAATAAGAAGTCCCTACGAACAGTAGCTGCAGATTTTGAGATAAATCATATGACTTTACAGCGATTTTGTAAAAAACAGAAACAGAAAGAAGATGAAGGTAACTTTTTATTTTACGCATTTTTTACGATTTGGTCTATTTGCATTGTACTTGCTGTGTTTGTGTGTGTGTGTATAAAATTATTTTTTGTAAGCTCCCGTTTTTTATACATTTATAAAACTCAATTTTGACTTTCTTTGGCTTTTTAAACATTTATTTTTAACTTCTATGTGTCAGCGTTGAAGTGTCTGATTAATATTTTTATTTTTTTTATTTTTAGGATTAGAAGGACCTATCCATGTTGGATATAGACGAAATCGTCAGGTACTACCGGATGAGATGGAAGCAAAATATTATTTTGGCTTATCCACGAAAGAGGTTCGCAGACTGGCCTTTGAATTTGCTGTAAAAAATAATATAGCTGTTCGCCCCAACTGGAATGAAAATAAAATGGCATCTGATGACTGGTTGACAAGTTTTCTTAAACGTCATCCACGATTATCTCTCAGGGTTCCCGAGGCGACTAGCCTTGGTCGAATTACCAGCTTTAACAAGACAAATGTTTCTGCATTTTTTGACTTGCTGGAAGGAGTGGTTGATCGATATAAATTTGAACCACAAGACATCTATAATGTCGATGAAATGGGTATAACAACTGTGCAGAAGCCAGATAGAGTCGTTGTTAGAAGGGGAGCTAAGCAGGTTGGGTTTGTAACATCTGCCGAAAGAGGAACCCTAGTAACATTTTGTTTTGCTATCAGTGCTAGCGGCAATTCAATCCCTCCGATGTTCCTGTTTCCGAGAAAGAACTACAGAGATCATTTTGTGAACAATGGCCCTCCTGGCTGTATTGGAGCCGCCAATCTATCGGGGTGGATGACAGAAAACGAATTTTGTATTTTTCTGGAGCATTTTGCAAAACATTGTAGGTCATCTAAAGAAAAACCGGTTTTACTGTTACTCGATAACCATGAGTCACATCTTTCAGTAAAAGGCATTAACTACTGCAAAGAAAATGGCATTGTTATGATCTCCATGCCCCCGCATTGTTCACACAAACTACAACCATTAGATCGATCTGTCTATGGGCCTCTTAAGAAATATATCAATACCAGTTGCGATTCCTCGATGCGCAATAATCCTGGCAAAACAATGACAATTTATGACGTACCTAAAATTGTTAAAAATGCTTTGCCTTTGGCTGCTACCCCGAAGAATAACCAGGCTGGATTTCAAATAAGTGGAGTTTTCCCCGTTAACAGAAACATTTTCACAGAGGATGAGTTTCTTCCAGCAGCTCTTACAGATCGTCCCAATCCAAATATTAAAAAACAAGTTCCAAACCAAGCCGAAATCCAGCAAGAAGCTCAGTTAACTGAACAAGAAAAAGCTCAATTAACTGAACGGGAAGAATCTCAAATAACCCCTCCAAATTCGCCGCTTGTGGTAAATTTACCTTCAGTTTTACGAGAGGTTAACAAAGAAAGAGATGATTTACAAGTCGAGGATTTCCCTGGACCCTCTGGAATAAAATCGTACTTATCTCCACAGGATTTGCGCCCAACGCCCAAGGCAGAACCACGAAAAACAAACAGAAAAGGACAGAAACGGGGCCGCGCTGCCATTTGGACTGATACACCCAATAAAGAGGAAATTGGAAACGCATACAAATAAAGACAAATGAAACAAATTAAGAAAAAGGCAAAGCAATCAGGCACAAAAAGAAACATTTGTAAAAGTAAATCCAAACATATTCCATCAAGCAGCTCTGAGGATGAAGAAGTTTTTTGCCTTATTTGCAGTGAGCCATTTTCAAATTCTCGTCCAAAAGAAAAATGGGTGCAATGTACGGCTCAAACTGGGCCCATCTGGAATGTACAGATAAAAATCCATTTTTTATTTGCTTAAACTGTAGTTTTGATGATGATATTTAAATATGGGGCCTTCACAAGATATTGTCACAACCAACCCCAGCATTGTAACAACCAACTCCGAATCGGGGTAAGTTGTGACATTCTGCTTTTCTTGTTTATATTAATAATAACTTTATTTTTATTAGCTTTTAAGATTTAATTTTTATGTTTTTTATGCACAAAAGGTTAAGTAATAAATATACGGTAAAATGAAATTTGTGGTATTAATAGGAAAAATTTAAAAAATATATTTATAAAAATCGTAACAACCAACCCCGGTCTCCCCTACTGATAGTCTTCCAGTATTACGTATTTATTGTGTTTTGATCGAAATCCGTCGCTTCTTTTTGGACAAACCTAGTCTTTACAATAATTGGCTCACATTAACTACATTTGGTCATAGAGGAGTATTATAACCTTTACTATTGCAAAGGACATCTATGGCAACAGTGCCTAGGAGTACTGTACACGGAATACAGAAACATCTTTCATCGTTGCACTAGGATAAATTACATGCCATTTTCTCTGCCGAAATGGCGGCTGTTTTTGACACTGACAGGAAAGTGTTATAGGTGATTGTTATCATATGTGTGGTGATAGTATCTGAACTCAATATAGGGGAGGCATTTCGAACATTTATTATCCTTCAGTCTTTAATCTATAGAACGTGTTTGATACATTACTGTACATGTAGTAGAAAAATATACATTATAAATACACTATGTATGTTAGTTATTTAAATAAAACCAATATAAATATAACAACACATATAAATGTTCATGTCAATCTTTACCTACTTAAGGTTGCACCATCCGTTAACTTATTTTACTTGAAGATAGCCAATCTAAATGCTATTTTTCCACGTGCAACAACTTATCCAATTATCTGAGATAAAATGAGATCCCGTAGCGTCATATATGAGAATTTGTCATACCTGTTTCACTATATATATATATAGATATCGCCACCTACAAGAAACTGACCTTTTCAAAATATTATATAGTAAATAGAGAAACAGCTGTGAGAAGTTCTCATAGATGGCGCTACGGTATCTCATTTCACCTTGGATAATTCTTCTGTATGCGGGAATATAGCATTAGGCTATCTTTATGTAGAATACTTTAATCAATTTGTTGATAATAATCTTTAACTTGATTTTCGAATGATAAGTAATCACTGATTTTCTGTATTTCAACAGGTAATTTATTGCCTGACTTGATGCAGTTGTAGAAGAGTGATTTCTTAAAATGTACAGGCAGAGAGGACGGACGTTTTGGGATGGGTAGTACTCTCCGCCTCCGTCTATGAGAGAGGTGGGGAGGGTGCCGTTTGACTCGTGAGATCCTAGCATTATTTTACCAGTTGTCGTTATGGAGCCTTGGACGGTGGAGCAGCGCTTTTTCGCCTATGATTGTTTCGTCCGAAATAATGAGTCAGTCATCGTCGTTCAGCGTGAGTTACGTCGCCACTTCAACATTCATCGGAATAGAGCTGTTCCCTCTCGAAACACCATCCTTCGTTGGGTTGAATCATTTTGCAGACATGGTGAACTGATCAACAGAAGACCAAGAGGAGCGCCGCGAACAATTCGAACTGAAAATGTTGAACGCGTTCGACAGGTCTCTCTTCGCAGTCCGACTCGATTTGCCAGGAAACATGCTGCTGCACTTCGCGTTAGTGATCGTTCGGTAAGGCGAATTTTGCATATGGAGCTCCGCTTTCACACCTACAAATTGGCCATTGTGCAACAGTTACAGCCCGGAGATTATGCACAACGAATGAACTTCGCACGTGAGATGGAAGCACTGATCGATCAAAATGAGAACCTCATTTTGTTTATGAGTGACGAAGCCCACTTTCACCTAAACAGCATGGTTAACCAGCAGAATTGTTGTTATTGGGCTAATGAAAATCCGCAACAGTTACACGAAAGACCGCTGCACAGCCCAAAAGTAACGATTTGGAGCGCTGTATCGCAAAATTGCATCATTGACCCTTACTTCCTCGAACACGGTAATGGTCGTGATATTACCGTGAACTCAGAGCGCTACGTCGACATGATCACCAACTTCTTTCTCCCTGAATTACCACGGCGACGTGTTCCAATCCGACGTGTGTGGTTCCAGCAGGATGGGGCGACCGCCCACACAGTCCGAGCATCCATGGACGTTATTCGCCCTCTCTTCCCTGGTCGCCTTATTTCCAGGTTTGGCGATGCTCTTTGGCCTCTTCGGTCCCCAGATTTATCCATATGCGATTTTTTCTTATGGGGACCCCTCAAGGCTAGAGTATACGCGAACAAGCGCCGAACTCTGGACGAATTGAAGGGCGAAATTCGCGTGGAAGTCGCCCAAGTTGAGAGAGCGATGTTGGAGAGAGTCTACGCGAACTTCCAAGAACGCCTCCAGCACTGCATCAACGATTTCGGCCACCACATGCCTGATGTCATTTTCTACACTTGACTGTCTCAAATGCTATTTCCTTGTGAACCTGATTCCGTCAATAAATTTGTTTTCGAGTAAAAATTAACTATTTCATGATCTTTTTTAAAACCGTCCATCCTCTGTATTATAGTATGTGTGTGAATTTTTTTTTCTTATTGACCATTAATAACAAATATGGATTTATGTAACTGACGATATAAAGATTTACTCACGAGTTGGATCCAGGTAATGTACTTCTTCCACCACAGGTATTTCTGGTACTTTGGACCCATTGCAGCCACCATATAGTAGAAATACATTACTACATGTACCAGTGAGTTCAAGAATCCAATAACTACACCCTGTTCACCTAAAAAATAAATAAAAAATTGTATATAATTCCTTTATCAAATTACGTCGATGTTTGTTGAAACCCTATGTCAACGAATTTTCCTCCACAAAGCTCTCCTCCACGATGCCACCGCGCATTGAGCGTGTGAGACTGACCCGCTAAGCGTCTTCCTTCAATCCAAACAATGTCGAACATCGTACATCGAGAAATGGTCGGTACGACCCTCCTTCCTTCGTTTGTTGTCGAGATTGGGGAGCAGTGTGTCTGAGGAGATTTTTCGCACCTGTGCTAATCTTAGGCAGTTCAAAAGTAGTATTAACACAAAATGCGTCTTTAGGTTCCTTATAAGCAGTCGCGGTATCCCGGTATTTAGGTTTTTACCTACGCGACTGCTTCATTATAAAGAACAACCCATGGATGGCTGGTGTCTTGTTCTTTTCCACAGATATGACAAGAGACTTTCTCCTTTATACTTCCTTCCGTGTTGGGCGTACTCACTAGACATTTGCTCCTCATTAAAGCAATATTATATTGGATTATATTGCTTTTATATAAAACATTTTTTGTAAATGCTTATATAAAAAAGTTAGAGACGGGTCATTTTTTATAGTGACACACCTTGTTTGCGGTGTCTGGTAGAGGTTACGGCCGGCGACAAACGTCTGGCATTGCTGGATATTACTTTGTAGTAACTTTTTACAAAGTATATTTATACTAAGTGACATATAAATCCGAACACCCAGTTTAAATGGTTTTATTTTAATAAAATTTTGTATAAGTACTTAATGAAGCAAATGATAAAAATTTCAAAATGATTGCATTGCCTTAAAGCCCTTTGACCTTTAATAATGTGTGGATGCACCCTGATGTGCTACGCATTCTCCAACGCGCCTAGACATGCTTCTGATCAGGTGGTCAATGTCCTCCTGTGGTATCTCATTCCAGGCAACACCAACTCCTCTCGAAGTGCTTCTAGAGTCTGAGGAGGACGTTGCAAATTGAGCAATCTCCTACCCATCATATCCCACACGTGCTCAATTGGGGATAAGTCGGGAGATCTTTGTGGCCATGGTAACAATGTGACATCATTATGTTGAAAAAAGTCTATTGTGACTCTTGCAACATGTGGTCGGGCATTATCTTGTTGGAAAGTTGGATCTGCCAGGGTGTCAAGATAGGGTAAAAGATGGGGTTCTAGAACTTCGTGGATATAACGCTGCGCGTTCATGTTACCTCTGATGAAGATTAAAGGTGACCTGGAACCATAAGCTATAGCACCCCAAACCATAACTGCAACAGTGTGATGAACATGTCTTTCAACAAAAAACTGAGGATTCCTCCTTTCACCACGTCGCCTTCTAACCCTGGCACGACCATCGTGCATGCCTAAACAAAATCGAGACTCGTCACTGTTCCATTCCTGATCTCAGAGTGACCGTTGTCTGCACCACTCAAGGCGATTACGTCGGTGTTCTCGAGTTAAAGGGAGGACCCAGTGTGGCCGGTATGAAAACAAGCCAAAGCTTCTCATTCGTCGGTAAACACTTCGCATGCCAATAGGTCTTCCGTGTTCTGCAAACCATTCAATTGCAATGGACCTGGTAGTGGAGAAACGGTCCCTTAAGGCCAATAATCTTAGGCGGCGATCTTCACGGTCTGTTGTTCTACGGCGGCGTCCAGTGCCCCTTGCTCTTTGCGTACGGCCTCCTCGAAGCCATACCTGACAACACCTAACCACAGTGTCTACACTTCTTTGCACTCTAACTGCAATTGCCCGAAAAGAAAGTCCAGCTTCCCGAAGTCCCACTATACGGCCCCTATCAAACTCACTAAGTTGACGAAATCGTACAGGTCTCCGTACTCTAGGCATCGTAACCGATCGTAAAGGATGTCAAGAACCAAAATCCGCCAACCTTGATTCTTTACTGCGGCTGAAATATTCATTTTTAGAGCGTTAGTGAATTAAAAAAAAGCAGTAGAAAAACCGGAATGTCCAACTGATAAGGCTGAAAATTTTTTCACTTGTTATTTACGGTAAGATAAATACATTCACCAACTTTTATTAAAATAAAACCATTTAAACTGGGTGTTCGGATTTATATGTCACTTAGTATATATAAAAATCAGCCATGATTATTTTGGGTTAAGCTGGTCCTATTTTTACGGACCTTTCTTACCCTTACCGCGGTATCGAAAAGTCAGAGCGTAACTATGCCGCGCTGACCGGTGGCGTGCGATGTGTTCCGCTCTTCTCTTCCTTTTCGGTACTCGAGTATACTCGTATTATCGTTAAATCGTCCATTTACCAACTCACAAGAGCGTTCACAGTTCATATAAGCGCTACTCAATTCCCAAAACGTTGTGTTTATAAGAAAATAAGTTGCGTCTGAAAGCTATGTCATCCTGGACTATAACTAATTGTGGTACTCTAGTCATTAAAATCTGCGCTATCATTATAGAGATAACATTCTTAAATTATTCTCAATGAAAAATGTTTTTTTGCGTTCGCGTCTCAAGAGAGACAAGGAGCACTACAGCACTGAAATTTTGTATTTTCAGAAACATTATCACCCTACCATGATATCTTACCTGGTAGAAATTTGAGGTATCCCCAAGAGAAGAACATTGTAATTGCGTGGTGGTACACATGTAGAAACGTCACCTGAGACTGTTTCTTCCTCAGTACGAAGAACACCGTATCTAGAAGTTCCACTATTTTGGAGAAGAAGTACCACCATGCTCCATTGGAGAGCTATAAATAAGATAATACAAGTTTTCTAAGAAGTGTTCTAAGAAGATGGAAACAGTTTTCTAACATTTGCAGCCTAGTTAAATCATATGGTGCTCGAAATGAAAATTTCGTAAAAGACCCCGCAGAATTGTCAGTTTGAAATTGAAATATTTTGTAACCTCAAAAAACTTCTAAATGCTTTAACGACTTGCAGAAAATGTCCTATAGTTTCTGTGATTTATGAGGAAATACATCTGTCTGACCCACTAATTGTAAATGTTAAAATCGAAATGGAAACTTACAACTTCCTGGAACTCCCGATTCGTGGAAGGATTCTTGCACGTGTGTTTCAACAGTTGCATTGGCTTCTGTACTTTGAGGGCTTGTGAACATAACCATATGCTGAACAGCACTTGGTAAGCATTGTAAGCCACTAAGAGTGTCTGAAGATTGTATGGTTCACGTTTCGCCATCATTTTTGGTCCCAGCTTCAAAACGAAGTAGAGATATGTGATTAGTATCGTAACTACAGGAACTGGTGATTTCATAAACAGCCATGAGTCTACTATTGGATCTGAAATATAAACAAAACTACTATTAAGAGCTATTTGCTCATTGAGTCTATAAACAAACAATATTTTAGTTGCAATATTTAGCTTTAACTATTGCAACTATATATTGGAAAAGAAATGCCACTGATCCCTGTATCTTCGCCACTGGTGCACGTTAATTTTAAGTAAAGACTTTTGAATGTGGACAATACTTAAAATCCACATACCAAATTGTAGTTCGTTTTAGGTGACGGTTTTGAAAATACTAAAAAAATTGTTATTATTTTTAAACTTCAACACCCCGTAAATTTTTAATGGAGCCTCGAGGACAAAATGTTACATAGATGACCCCATTAAAATGCGGTCCTGTGTATGATGTTTCATTACTGGTCACAACTTCTGAATCATCCTGTATAATCCGGATATATAAGCTAAATCTCGGCTTTATCTTAGTATTATTGTCTGCAACGTGTAGATACACACACTTTAAAAAAATTCTCATGAGAAGGGCTACAAAGTCAAGCAAGAATGAATGACGAAACTATACGCGTCGAGGCAGCTTACTCATTTAAATTAGATTACAGTAAGTACGATATCGATAGCTTGGCAATCTAATACCAACATACAGGGTGGCCCATCCATGTGTGGGCCAACTATTACTCATAAACAAATACATTTTGGGAAAATCTATTTATGACATGTTATACATGACATTTGAGGGCACATTTCTAAAATATTGGCAATCATACAATGTCTCAAATTTTATTGCATATTTGGATAAACCAATTAAAAAGAAGTATATTGATATAACTTACTATGGGGTTTTGGTAAATAGCTACTGAGATGTGAGATGTTTTGTCCAGAAAAACCGTCCATTCCGGCAACCCCTCAAACCGCCATTTTGAAATTTGGAGTGCTGAATTTTGTATGAAAAAACTTATACACCTCAGCTTTTATCTCATTTGTTACTTTTTCGTATTTCAAGTTTTGCTCATACAAGGTGGTCAAAAACGCAAATTGTACTTTTTCTCAGAAATTTCAAATGCATCACCCTGTATATTTGTGCAAGTTTGGATTCAATTTTTTATAAGCTTTTTTTGGCAAAAGGTTCGATTCAGAGAAAATTACTAGATTTTGAGTTATTAAGCTTTTATAGAACAACACACCAAACTTAAGGAAAAAAATCACATGATCCATGGAAACAAAAGAAAAACAATGGGCTAGTTCCATATTGCCACTAAGGCTCGTATCGTCAGTCGTCCCTACAATTGTAGGGCGCCTTTATGGCCTCCTTGATTGTCATAGTTTTCTACTTCTCCGTGTCAGCACTCTCTTTTGAGGTTATGTCACAAACATCAATTTGCATCAAATTGTGCTTGCTTGTGAGTTATACCATGTTTTATCAGCCTGAAATTTCCTACAATTTAAAAGGAAAACAAATCTTTACATTAGCAGAGCGCTGACGCTGACACGGGACAAGTGTAATCTAGAAATTTTTGAAGGAGAGAAAGCAGTATGACAATCAAGGCCATAAATGCGCCCTACAATTGTAGGGTCGACTGACGATATGGGCCTTAGAGTACAAATTTGACGTAAAAACTAATAACAGTCAGAACAGTATAAATCAGCTTCAAGCGTAATACAGAAAAACAACTATAACAACAACATAAACAAATAACTTTCACTACTCAAGACCTAATCTACAAAAACTGCCCGAAAATATCTCCACCATGTTGAATGCACAGCCGTAATCTTTGGATAAATGACCATTGCATGTTTTCCATTATGTTCAGAAAAGCATCCTCTATTCCTTTCCTACATATTTTCCGGGGTAGATGGTGTATATCTATAAACCTCTTGCTTGACATATCCCCATAGAAAGTAGTCCATCGGCGTCATATCTGGTGATCTAGGAGGCCAAGATATAAGCCCATCACGACCGATCCAACGATTGTTACTCCAGGTGTCGAAATAGTTACGCACACGGTTATGATAATGCGCAGGTGCGCCGTCATGTTGGAAGTACAAATGCACTTTATTTAGCATTATTCTACTAAACTCCATTCGAGCTGCGAAATCCTGAGGACGAAGGCCTTGATGCCAAGCATAGTCGATATGGATGGTACCTATGGTTGTGAATGATCCTTTGGACATATCAGTTTCTGCTCCAATTTGCCGTGCACTTAAATGGGGATTTTTCTGCAACTTTAAAAGAACCTCCAACTGATTCGCCTCATTGATGACACTTGGATTATTTATACATTTTTTACTACATTCCACTGCTTCATTTGATTCAAAACGTTCTCGTAGTGTGGAAAATGTTTCCGGCCTTGGATGTTGCATATTAGGTTATCGTTGCTTATAAATGCGAGATGCTAGGAAACTATTTCTTTGAGCGTTGCCCAAAACGACAACGATATTTCCCGTTTCTTTAGAAAAATTCACACGTTTTTATTATAATGCTCACAAAGCTAATTCTGACAACTAATCAACAATTTATTTGTTTAGGGAATGAAGCCGATCCATAAAAGACGTGCTAATAACCGAAAAAATAGCCGTAAAACCCTTGTGTCTAGTATAAAGAAAAGCTTATAAAAAATTGAATCCAAATTTGCACAAATATACAGGGTCAAAAACCACAATTTGCGCTTCTAACCACCCTGAATGAGCAAAAATTAAAATTCGATAAAGTAACAAATAAGATTAAAGCTGAGGTGTGTAAGTTTTTTTGATACAAAATTCAGCACTCCAAATTTCAAAATGGCAGACTGAGGGGTTGCCGAAGTGGGGGGTTTTTCTAGACAAAACATCTTATAACTCAGTAGCTGATTACCAAAACCCCATATTATGTTATATCAATTTTCTTCTTTTGAACTGGTCTACCCAAATATGCAATAAAATTTGAGGCATTCCATTTGAAAAATCACAACTTTGAAATGTAGATCCAAATTGGGACACCCTGTATAATGTCTAATATTTTAGAAATGTGCCCTCAAATGTCATGTATAACATCCCATAAATAGGTTTTCCCAAAATGTATTTGTTTATGAGTAATATTCCGTCCACACATGGATGGGCCACCCGGTATGTGAGTAAGTCGGAGACGTCATGCATATGCAGCAACATATGCCGAGCGCGGACGATACTAAAAATATTGCCTTATGTTGCTAATCACTATTGTAACTAATTTGGTTCATTATACTATTCTGTTTATTGATATCCCTCAATCAGGATCAATGGTATATTATATAGGATGTTGATCAATCATTTGGCCAAAGAGATCAATGATACTAAGACGAAACATTTCTATGAGTATAGGCCCAAAAGCATGTCACATATTTTTTGAGGTAGCGACTTTTCGTGAAAGTCTGCCGGGGAACTTCAGCTTTCTTCTTGAAATTTACTGAATTTTCGTTAAGATGTACCACTGGAGATCCAAATGAAACCTAATAAGTACTCGTAAGAGAGTGAATAGTATGTTAGCCCTTCAATGGATAAACTAGCGGGTTCAGATCTGGCCATCCATAATAGTGGCTTGAAAAAAGCATTTTCGTTGCTGATTTTATTGTAAATTTGTCATCAATACATCTACTAAATTTTCACAAGTTGTATCGAAAAACGAATTTCCAAAGAAAGGTTTTTTATTCAGCATTTCGAAAACAAAAGCTTTTATTCTTAGAACCATTCAAGAAATCGTCCCCTGAATATTGGCTGCAAGCTTTGCTAACGGGCTGCATATAACTTATTTAACTATTCAGCTACAGAATAACTACTTACCTCTTGATTCAACGAATTCACTATAGTTCTCTACCACCATGTGCATTATAGACGTCATCGTACCGCTGGAGCAAAAAACAAGTGTAAATTCTCCCATTCGAATATTTTTTACAAATTATCATCAAATAAATACGGCGGAAATTCATTTTAAGAACAGAACAAAAAAGTTTCGAGAAAAATGGCAGCTTAATAACAAATCACAAAGGTGAAAGATAAACAACTTTGTACTATATACTCGTACATAAATTAAGCTCAAATTTCAATTAACAAATGGTTTCTACACGACTTTATCACTTAATGTTTTAAAAACTCCAATTGATCTTCCGATCCCTTGAAAAGTATGAATCTCAGGAAATGTCATATGATCAGTCTTTACTGTGATTCGCCGATATTTATTGTGGATTGTGATACTTACTGACCGTGTGGCCAGTGATAATTGATTTATGAGGTTACTTAAAAAGTGACTGACGCTGACGGAATGATTAGTGAATTCTGATGATATGAACCACAGGAAATACTAATCGTGTGACATTCTTGATATTTCTCTTTTTCGCTTTTTCTCGTTTTTTGTGTATAACCGAATTATTGTTTTATTTTCACACAATGGATTAATCGAGTGTATCAGTAGCCCTGTGGCCTCTCTGGTGTGCCTCAAAAAGTCCTTATTATTATTATTATTTGCCTCAGAAAAATCTGTTATTGGCTGACACAAAGGATATCCCTGCTATAGTTTGCACCTTTTTCAATGGAAGTTATGAGTTTTTCTCCAAGAACTAATATGGAAAAACTGATTTTTGAGATTTGTCCTTCAATCTCAAATATTATTCTTGCACTACCTACGTTTTTAACCATCTTTAGATAATATAAGTTTTTGGTATAGCAACTCACAGAATCAGTCTAGATTTTTGAAATAAATTAGAAAATTCAGTCACTTGTAGAACACGAACGTTTTCTAAACAATATAAAAAATAAACGGAACTCTCACTATGTCTGAGCTTGTCTAACAAGCAGATGATGACCAACTTTGACCGACTCGCGAAGCAGTACTGCAGTACCGCCGGTAAGCACGCGACTGATGAATCTTACTTGTTTAATGAGTACCAAAGTGTGGCATTAATCTCATGAATAATCATACTCAAATGGGAGTAATCGGACTGTCCCGAAAAAATCAAAAGGAGGTCGGTACTGAATATCATTTTTTAGAACAATACCAATTTTTACGATTGTCAAATCTACACAATCACGACTATCTAGTCTATTGGCCTAGCCAAAAGAAGGTGAGTAGATTTATCGTAAATGAGGATAAGGCGTTTTAGACCAGTACAATAATAATAATAATTTATTCACATTAATATATAACATAGTGAATACATTTCATTCCGCAACAGGATATTCTTGTGTGTGAGAAAAAATAAATACATAAGTACATTAAATAAAAATAAATGTTGGTTACCAAAATAAGTAACCATTATATGTTATACAGGGTATGCGGCATTATGTATTACAAATTTCAATTCTATTACTACACTACGAGCTTTTTTTGCTCAAAATGGGTGTATATATGTTAATATGTTGTAATTTGGAATTTCCCTTAACCAACCTTTCAGTTCTTTTTTGAATTTAATGTTACTCTATCTTAACTTTTGCTGATATGTTATTATAAATAATAGTGGTGCATGCTAGGTAAATGATTTTAGCATGATATCTTTCTTTGGAATAAGTAAAGTAATTTCAGTTCTAGTATTATAAATGCTATTCTTGTACAATATATATTTTTTATTTTTATGTTGATCTATAATAATACCTACAATTTTTGTGTGTTAAGAATTTCTGTTACAGCGTATAAAAGTTCAGATGAGTATACTATAAGTTTATGGTATATTACTTCCACAACAGATTTTTGTGCTTTTTCAACCAATTCTATTAGCATCTTATTTGCAGAGCCCCTGTTATTCCGTAAGTTAGGTGACATTCTACTAGTGTGTAATGTAATATTATCATCTGTTTTTTGTAAGAAAATGCCTAATGTGGTGGAATTTACACAATAAGGATCTTCATTTCTTATTAATATAAGAAATATGGACACTCCAACAAAGTATATCTATACTGAGATCATGTGCAAAACCGGAAATATCCATTTCGTGGCCATTTCATGAAGGGCCAACTAAATTTGACTATAACGTTGAATCGTCAACGTTTAACGATCGGGTTATCCACGTTTGACCACATTTTTAAATAGGGTGTTCATAAAATATTAAATAAGAATCTCGAATATGTTACGAACTACGAGCCCCTTCCCACTTCAGTTGGCCCACTTCAAGATTTTTACCAAAATATGCCTTTATAAACTAAACATGACGAAACTATTTACTTCTAAAACAATTTATTTTCTCAAAAACATTTTAAATACACTCTAGTCGTTAAAAATACATATTTGAAATCACTTAGACCTATAACTAATAACAATGTGCGAATAAATGCGCGAAGTTAACAAAGCAACAATTGAAAGGTTACCATTGGGTAACATCAGCTTTATTTTTTATTATGGCTGAAATTCTTTGGGGCATAGTGTTAACCTAGTTTTGGCAAAAATTTGGTGTAAAACAATCCCATATTTCTTGAAGCTTTTGTCTCAGTTCGGTGATTGTACGAGAAGGATGTTGTCGTAGAACCTATTTCATCTCGTGCCACAAAGTTTCAATAGGTGACAGATCTGGACTGCTAGAAACCCATTTCAAAAGTGGTACATTATTTTCTTCCATCAATTTTATAGTCTTATTTGAGGTATGGCAGCTGCACCAGCTTGCTGAAACACAAAATCTTGGCCGGATGCCAAACATTCTTCCATCACTGGTAAAGGCGATTCTTCTAAAATTGCCAAATATTTGTTTGTATCCACATTTTCATCATTAAAATGAAGTTACATACTGCCCCAGACCATAATGGATGCTGGACATTTCACTTTTCTCTTCAGACAGTCAACATGAAATGCTTCCTTTTTTTTTACAAATAACTCTACTGCGACTGTCACCAACACAAACTTTGAATCGGGCCTCATCACTCCATTGTATTGCACACTATTGTTGAGGTGTCCGTTGTCTATGTTCTTTAGCCCATCTAAGCCGATTTTTCTTTTGCAGTGGAGTTAATAGTGGCTTTTCTTTGGCCTATAAGCAAGTTGTGCAACTTTAGGGTTTTTACTTCACTTTTTTATAAGAAAACTTACCTTGCAAGTGCTAAATCCCAGTTTGTGGGACTCTCTATGAGTTGTGAACCTCGAAATTCTCCTTAGAGCAGCGTCACTTCACAGAGCACTTAATTGTACATAATTGGAACGCTTGTTTTTCACGATTATTCTTCTTAATGCTCTTCGGTCGGCATTTGTGATATTACTTTTTTTCACATATCGTGGCTTAATATTAACTGAACCAGTTACGTTATATCTTCTAACAATATTTCTCACACTGTACCGCCACAAGTGTAACAAAGTTGCAATTTCTGAGTTTTATTCAAAGAAATAACCGCATCAACCTTTACAGGTTATTAGCGGTGGATGTGATTAAATCTTATGTAGAACATTAATTTTTCTTAAATACATAAGTAGTTGGTTAATGTCACATTTGTCCCCTATAATATCCGCTAGAGTTCCGTTAATATTATGTTGAAGTCTTTCACTTTCCAGTAGTGGGCACTCCACTAAGATATGTTTAACGGTGAGTGTTTCTTCACAAATGTCACAGGTTGGTGGTTGTTCTCTATTGAAAAGGTGCCGATGAGTGAGCTGGGTGTGTCCGAGTCGTAGTCTGGTTATAACTATTTGATGTCTTCGATTCTGGGTAATACAGCGCCATGGCCCCATAGATGATTTGAGCTCTAAGAGCTTAGAATTTTTATTTCTCCATTCACTGTTCCATTCTTGATATATTTTATAATTGAAGTAAGTTTTTGTATCCGAGAATGGTATTTTTGTTGTTGCTGATAGTTCTCCTTGCGCTGCGATTTTTGCTTTTTGGTCTGCCTCCTCATTACCCCGGATGCCAACGTGGGATGGAGCCCAAATGAAGTTAACTTTTTTGCCTTCCGTATGTAATCGATGTAAATGCTCCTTGATACTGATCACCAACGGGTTACTCACGTAAACTCGTCCAATCAATGTGAGTGAGCTCAGTGAATCGGATATTATTACCCAGTTTGTAGCTGCCTTCTCTGTGATATGTTGGAGAGCTTCCATTATAGCATGAAGTTCACCCGTGCAAATTGTAGCTTCATCTGGTAATCTCGTAGCAATAATAGTGGTCGGTGTGATGACTGCTGCGCCTGTTTTGTAGTTTACTTTAGCTGCATCTGTGTAAATTTTTTGGTGTTCCAAATGTTCCTGCATAAGCTGATTGAAGCGCTGTCTTATTAGTTCGTGAGGTACATCGTGCTTGTTAAGCTTTGTCATCCTGGTATTGATGTCAGGTAAGTTGATCAGCCAAGGTGGGACAGAGGATGCTGAAGTGCGATAGGTAGGGGGGAACGATATGTTTAGTGATCTGAGACGCAAACTTGTTCTCTGGCAGAAAGAGCCCCTTCTTGTTATATTCATGCCATTCTGTGACATAGTAGCTACTAGGCGACTATGGATAGGAATTGCTGGATTAGAGTGAACTCTGGTTGCATATGAAAGACTCAAGATCTGACGTCTGAGGTAGAGCGGTGCCTCGCCAGCTTCACAGTATAGGCTGTCACATGGTGTGGTCCTAAAAACACCAAGTATAAGGCGCAGAGCATTATTGTGCAGGACATTTAGTGGTTTAAGGGTCGAATTTGTTGCCGATGCGTATGCTATACATCCATAATCAATTTTTGATCGGATTAGGGACCTGTAGAGGTATAAAAGTGTAGTTCCATCAGCCCCCCATCGTTTGTTTGCTAAACATTTCAGTAAGTTGATTGCTTTTTGGCAGGATTTAATCAGTTCTCGGATGTGTGGTTTCCAGTTCAAGTGTTGATCAAATATAATGCCAAGAAATTTTATTTCTGTTGTGTAATGGAGTTGAATATTATTGTACTTTAGATTTGGC